ATTGACTAAAAAAGAAAGAAATTGATTGAATTGATTTGAAAGAAATTGATTTTTTCCAATTGACCCACCCGTCTCATGTCTCCGACGCAAACCGTTTTTTCCGTGAAGAATCCTCCGGGATTATCGGAGATTTTTCATTTTGCATCTCTGGACTTGTTCCACTCACTGCATCGCTGAAATTTATGAAAATACGATTTACCCAAAAATTTGGAGACTCTATATAGTTTCGACTAAAACGATTTTTTGAAGGAAGAAAACTTCGAAAAGGAAATCAATTTTCTTTTTTACTCTTACAACATGCCCCTGCAGTCTCCGCATTACTGGGCAACGCAGTCTCGCAAGAATGGGCGGGGAGGGGGGGTTGGAAGGGCTTTGCCCCCGCAAGTGGAGTGTCAATTGAACTATTTATGCTGAAACGGATTATGTTGGACGCAAAGCCCATGCGCTTAGTTCCTTTCAGCACAAACACGTCCAATTGTCGCGTGACATAACCATTGAACCACCGACTGTAAACACTCATGAAAGCCCTTAACGGGTTTCGATCCGTCCGTTGTCCTTCGTGTGCCTTTCGTAATGCGCCGTGAAAAATTCGATCCGACCGTTTCATTCTTGAAATGACTCAAGCGACAGAATCTCATGGTGCCGTGTCGCGTCGCCGCGCCTGCCTTGCTAAGGAGCCCCGGCGTGTGAAAGTTCGAACATTGCCAAGTTCTCCTTCGTAAAAAATTGACTCGGGAAGATAAATGTATATTTTTCGTTGGAGTTTTTAGATATTTTAGATTAAACTAGGGGGTACTCCGCCTGGCCGCAGTCGGTTCGGCGCGAAACCGGGGCGTTTTAAGCTCGCGGAAAAGCTGCGGTCTTTGAACTGCGTAATTCTCGGTTTCTTAGCTATTTTTTCGCGTTTCTAACGAGCGCATCGTGTTCTACGCGTCTTCGACCTCAGGTTAACACGTATTCGCAAGTCAAAATTCGTCCATGGTTTATTGACTCATTGTCTGAAAAACAACTTTCCTATAGTAAATTCAGTTTTTATCAAAGGCAATGTGGCAACGCCTGGAGGCTCATATGCCGTTCCTTCTTAGCACGGCGCCGTGAAAAACACGTTAGGAAGAGAGGAGCGAGGCTGATAAGTTTTTGACGCTTTGTCAAGGATGGATTGCGATACGCTTTTCAGACGATAGCGTCGCCGTCATCGGTTGCCGGCGCACAGTGGATCGAGTCAATAGGAGAGGGCGGACAAAGTTTGGAAACCTTAAACGTTTATAACTCCGTTTATACAAAGCTTTGAGGTTCTAAAAGTGAATCCATTGGTTTCCTCGTGAAATTTTCTTTCAGGAACCCTGGTAAAAATTGGCGGTAAGAGCTGCGTTTCAAAATACCATAGGAATTCTTATAGCCGTCTAAAGAAGGCTACAGAAAATCATATAGCTGGCTGTAGAATGCGGAGAAAATCATACGGCCGGGCTATACGAAGCGATAAAAAAGTATGCAGCCGGGCTATAGTTCCTATCGCCGGGCTTTACACTTTATTGCCTGTCTGTTGCTTTTTCGCCATCGATTATCAAAGGCTATAAGTCATTGTGTAGAAATTCGTGTGCTTTGGAAATCATTAATTTTGATACGGAACCACCTTAATATTACACCACAAAACACACATTATATTTTCCTTTAATGCATATTTTTTTTTTTTCATCAATTAAAATGAGAATAATCCATATACAGGATGTGCAAACATTTCAAAATCATGAGTTGAATAACGCTGACTCCGCCAGATTAAATATTAGAGCCTAACACAAAGCGGAGCGGCGACGCACTGGCGCCTACAAACCTAATAGGGATACTTCACGCATTGCGCAACGCGTGCAGTATCCCTGTTAGGTTTGTAGGCGCCAATGCGCGTTTCGCGCTGGCTTCTCGCCTGTCGCGCCGCAGCGTGCCACGGCGCTTGAAGCAACTATTTCACACCAGAGGTATTGCACAGTATCATACGAAACTGAAGACGCTCCAACATATTAGGAATGGCAGGCATCCTTCAAAAGTACGGAGCTTTCCTCGCAAAATAAATCAAGATACTATGGCCCAAAAAGAGAGCGGTAGTCCAAAAACTCACGTATTCTTAGCATCCGTAATTAGTAACGTTTAGCATACACTTTATCGCCTGGCTGTTGCTTAATCACCATCGGCTGTAAAAGGCGATAAGAAATTGTGTAGCCGGCTATAGAGGCTATTGGAAATCTTACAGCCGGCTGTAGGTCTATGGTATTTTGGAACACAGATTCTACTGCCAATTTTTACCAGGAAACACCCTTTTAAGGTTGAAAATGAGACGAAATAAACATTAAGATTTGCAGTTTTCGTCAACAATTTCATGTGCGACCTCTTTAATTGACTCGATCCACTGTGCGGCGTCGGGGGTTTGTTTATTCCATTGGATCCGATCCATGGGCTCTTAGTTCTCCAAATTGAAGTCGCGCGAGCCTCAGAGACCGGACAATGACTCCAGCGGCGCGGCGTGCTTTGCGGTACATCGATTGATCTGCCATTTAAGCCTATGAAAAAATATCGATCATCAGGGCGTTCGCAACCAACTCCATAACAATCGATTCTTTAGTACAGCTGCGAATGGGACAATATTGGTATTCGATCATCACGCCTCGCCACTGAATGACTCCTGTGGAGGGCCCCCGGATAGAAGGATTATGTTCCCATGGAGGCTTTGTTCGCTTATGGAAATGAAGTAACAATCCATGCACCAGAATAGACTAATTTAGTGGCCACGTCGTTCGATACATCGCGATGAAAAAGTCGAAATCCAATTGGCCCGTTTGAATCTCGATTAGTTTTCCCGCGGCAAAATTAAGACAGCTAATCGTAGGGTAAAATTTTTTGAGATTGATCTTATGTTTTTACTCACAATGGGACTGCATTTGGATCGGGTTAAGCAGGAAGAAGTGAAGCCACAACAGCTATTGCAGAATTTAACTGAGAAATTTTATTTTTGACATGGAATCGGTTGTGTTGATTTTCGTTCAAATTTCAAGAAATTTTCTGCGTGGTACGAATCAGATTCCTTAAAATTTACGAAGGAATGCGCACAAGCGCTCTCTTGTAGAAAATTAAGTTGCCCGGTTAAATTTTGCTATGACTGGTGTGGCTTGGTTCCTCCTGCTTAACACGGTCCAGTTTGCGATTAGGAACTACAGTTTATGGCTCGTCCGCAAGAATACTCGTGTATTGATGGAACTAATGGAAGCTGATGCCGCCAATCGATCGACAAATCCGTTTTATCAATCGACAAAATTCGCGAGTCGCTCGGGGAAACCGGAATTATATAGAATGACTTTTTTCCATAAATTACACCATTTTCAAGAAAATCGATGATAAAACTCATCCGTATACCGACCTACGTCATCAAAAAAATCCGAGATGCGAACGCCTCCGGTTTTACTTCCTCGCTCCCCTCGCGGGTAGAGGAAGTATTTTTCTCTTTAAGTAAATCGGTCGAAAAAACACGTGAATTAATCGATGTAATCCGCGAATCGATCGAATCAGTTCGAGTCGATCGATTCACGTTTGTATTTCTCGATCGATTCATGTCGATCGTCTCCATACCTCCTTCCCTGCGGGCCGATTATTGAAATTTATAGACAAAGACGACAAAAGGGATTTGGAGGGATCCTATTGGTGGAAGCAGGTGGTGGCAATGGACATAGGAGGTAGGTAATGGACTAACTAACGGCAACCCACTAAAGACCCGACAGTTAGTCCATCATTTTCTTCCTTAGTCTGTAAGAACCAGCCATGCAACCAACAAGGTCGCTCCACACTCCCTATGTCTTCTTTGTCTATCGCTTTGTCCATCAATTTCAATAATCGCCCCGCTGAGCAGTTTGAAGGCGAACATATTCGACGGGCACCTTACCGTATGTAGGTGAGTACGCCCCTTTGTTGTTGCTAAAATGACATTTATACGTGATACATGGGCGGGGTGTTGTTTGATCCTCACCATTAGAAGGAGAGAAATGATATGTTTGTCATTTCCTCGCCAACGGATGTCATAAGAGTGCATGAGTCACATCCATGAAGCCTCAGCTTGTCAAATCTCCTTCATCTGCGCTGGTCGCTGATGCCTGGATGCCTCCAGACGGAGTTAACGTTGTGTCCTAGAAAAGCGACATGTAAAGGGAAAGAAGAGGGCAAAGAAGAGGAAGCAGAAGTAGAAAAAAGGAGGCAAAGAAGGTTGAGAGAAGGAAGAAAAAAAGTCTTCCTCTTTCGACGTGTAACAACGTCTTTTGGCCCTTTGAAGACGTCATCCCTTTTCCCTTTGACTTCTTTTTCAACAGCTTTGTCTATCAATGTCAATAATCCGCTCGCAGATGTCTGTGTCCAGCACGAAAGAAACGCATTACTGTCGCTCCGAGAATTTTTAGTGAACACTCTGTGTCGAGTATTGTTCCCTCCAACCGAAGACACTTTTGCAGCTGATGAGAATACACGGAACAAATTAAATTACTGATTCAACAATTCAATTGCTAAAAAAAGTGACTGCAATATTTCAACGTATATTTCACAACAAAAAAATGCTAATTTAACCACGAGGGTGGGTAAAGTAGCATTTTTTTGTTGCAAAATCTACATTGAAACATTGCCAATCGCTTTATTTAGCAATTGCATTGTTAAATCAGCAATTTAATGTTTCCCTGTAATGCAAACTAGGTCCGGCCCTCACCCTCTCCCTCCCAAAACTGGAATGCCCCTCAAGTGCATCTGCCCATTTTTCTACTCTGCGTTGAGTTTTAAGGCTCCAGTTTAAGCGCATAACTGTGAATTTTCTTGATTTGAAATACAATCCAAAACCTATTATTTTTGCCCAGCAAGTGAATTCCTCTCTTTTTCTGCCCTGCGTTTAAGTCTCCAATACAATCAACCATCCCTGTGTTTAACCATTATTTTAGTTGCTATTTTTTCTCTGCCAACGAAATGATTTTTGATTTCAGGACATGAAGGTTTTGCCGGAGAGCCTGGCCATTGATAAACCCTCGAATCTATTCCTGAAATTCCTCGAGAAGCACTATGGACTTCATAAAGTGGTGCCCCAAAATAACAATTTTGTCGTTTTTGAAGAATTCTTCCAATACACCGGTTTGTGTTTCATCTCTTTACTTGTTTTATTTCTTACTTATTTATTTATAGTTTTGTTAATCTATTTTATTTTTGTGCTTTTCCAATGTTGATTAGGCTGCCCAATCTGATTTCGATAGTCGGCAACAACTAATTATTTTCCCAGTGTGTGTCAAAACACCTTCCAGAAAACAGAATGAAAATTTAGATCTAGGTATATCCGAACATTTTGGCAAAGTATTCTTTTGAAAATTTGCTGGAAATTTAAGGTAAACCGACTGCCACTCGAGCCGAAAAGGGATTAACATAGTTTTAAAAATTTCCCAAAGATCTGATTCCGAATCTTTGTCATTAACTGAGCAAGGAATAAATAACAGATTCGCAAGAAATGGTACCTAAAGAGTACTAAAAAAGAATTTTTTTAAAAAAAAAAAAGAAAAAAAAAAGAAAAAAAAATAAATAATCATGTCCATGGACATCTTCTATTCATTTACAGGATCATTTTAGGGTTTATTTTTTTTTTTATCTTTTTTTTCTCTCTTTTTAAAATACACAAGAATCTTGATTGTATATTTTCTGTACGTATACCGAATGTAAGCTGTGAGAGTTCGAATGGACCCCAAACAGTCTTTTTCCCCCTTAAAGTAATCCTTTTTCCCCTGCAAAGTAAATTGAGGATTTTTGACAAAACAACTATGAGCAGGCCATGACTCATAGGCACAATGCCATGAAAGGAAGCTAAAAATTCTTGAAACAAGACACAAAAAAGTAAATAAATAAAAGTGCTACTACCCAAGACGTGAAGCGAAGTAGTTGGTATGAATAATTACTCAGACCATTATCCACCTGCGAGTTACAGGTGCTTGTTGAATGTAAAACACCAATAGGAAACCAGGATTTCGATCGCTCGATGTCGAGCTATCGAAATTCTCCTTGCCTATTGGTGTTTCACTTTCAATAAGCGCTTTTACCTAGCAAGCGATCTGGGCCTTTGTGGAGAAAAATGAATGCTTGCTTGTGGAAAATAAATTGAGAGGCTTGGAGGAGAAGGCGCGTTAGTGCATCAGTTTTCGAAAAAAATTGAACTATTGAATTTTGCATATTTTGTGAAAATTCGAATTCCAATTTTTAAGCATCCAAAAGTCAGTTTGAACTTTCTTTCCATCTTAAGGATCCATGTAATTTCTAAATTTCAAACACCTATTTCTCGAAATAGCAAAAACTGCTACTGCACTTATGCGCCTTGTCCTCCAAGCCCCTCAATTGTGTTCTATTATTTTCTTTGTTTGTTGTAAACGAGGCTTTATATACTTGAAACTTTGCACACTTATGATGTTTTTGATATTTTTTACAGATCTAGCCTCAACTAATCGAAGAAGAGACATGAAGAACGGTCATCATGACAAAGTCCAATCAGTGTAAGTTTTTAAACCACTATCCGTGAAATTGCATCATCTAAGGAGAAAAGGGACTCTTACTGGCTCATTTTAGCAAGCATGACTTTCGTGTATTTTTTACAGGATTCGCATCAAATTTTATCCAAACCCCGGTCAAATATTGTTCCAACTCCTCTGCAATCAATTTCGCCTCTTTTCTTTTCAATTTTTCTCACCAGGTTGTCATATTCTCATTTCATTTTTATCCATTTCTTGGCAAGAAAAAATTAGAATGTAAAAAATGTTTAATATCTTCCTAACAGTTGCTGATGAGCATTTCAACAAACAATTCATCTCGCTCTTAGGTATTAACACAGAATTCGGAGAAAGAAACTCTTGGTCCGAGAATTTATTGAAAAATGAATTTTCTGTCCAATTTTTTTTTTACCGAAGTTCATTATTTTCATTCTTTTGTTTTTATTAAATGTCACTGTGAGTCTCATGAGAAATTGACCCAACTTTTGTGGTATTTGCAGAATTTTCATGAGATTCCCTTACTGAATTTTTCAATAAATAGTTAAATTTTCATTAATCTTACAACTAACTCTCATCAAATTCCCATGAAAACTTAACAAAGTTTTCAGCAAATTTATGTACTATTTTATCCCATTTTCTTACCGAACACCGGACAGATGTAATTGGGACTCTCATGGAATCTTGAAACAATTTCGTCAACCTCTCCATGTTTTTGCATGTTTTTGTAAAATCGTTCATCATTTCCTTCCTCCCCCCTCAAGTTTTCCTTTACCTATTATTTAAAGTTTAATTTATTTGCTTTAAATTTCGTCTCCTTTTCTTACAGTCAAGTTGGCACACAACAGAATGGCATGACCAACTACGGGCGGCACGCTGCTCTTAAACCTGTATCAACGATGGGAGATGTAAGTCGAATCTTGCTTTTTCCTAAATATAATCTTAGAAGGAATCATATTTTCTATCGTAGGAAAAGGAGGCAAGTCCGGCGGACTTTGTTGACAAAAACTCCAACTTTGATGGAACCAGTAACAACTAGCTAACTGATGCAAAAGACGAGACGAAGATCTGGGTCAGAAAAACTCAAGTTTGTCACACCAGGGTTAATTCATCATCCAACTTTGATCTAATTATCCTGAGTCCTCTTCCACAAGGGGCATTCGTAAAGAATACATTTGCATTGTCTCCAAAACCAATAGAGGCACTTGAAGTTGGTACTAAATTTCTCTATTTTCATACGCTAAACTTTTAAAAAAACTCTTGTTTTTTATACCCTGATCCCTTGGCTTACAAGTGACGTCATTTCGTTTGCGCCAACCTCTCATCGTCTTGTCTCCATGCGGGCATATTTTGGCGGTGTGGCAGGGAGAAGTGGGCGCTGGAAAAAAAAAATCAGGTCCCTCGCAAATCAGTGGAAAATTAAGTGCTTTTGAAAATCTGATAGTATGGCAAATTAATTTTTTTTTTACTAATTTCAATTATCTTTATTAGTTTTGGAGATAATAAAAATATATTCTTATCGTACAAATGCCCCTCGTAAATTTCAGCAAAAATTGCTGAGAATTTGTATCATTAAAGTGAATCTTCAGTTCTTTAGAGAACGATTAAAGTCAATCTGTCATTTGATAATTTCTTGATTTTAGGACATCTCAAAAATGTTCAATAATTGTATTACGCTATTAGGGTGTTCCGTTTTTAGACAACCATCTCAAAACCTTGCTCCCCGGGCTTTTTCCCATTCCCTTTGGTCCCCAAAAGATAATTCTGAAGTTTCAGCACCATAGCTGAAGTCTACACTTTCCCCCAAAGCGATGCAAATTTTGGAAGAAATTACATTGGTTTAAATGGGGAGAAAATAGGCAAATTCCCGGAACTACGTTTTTCGGTTGTAAAATGCGCCGAAATGATTTCAGACCCTGACCATCTCTTGGAAAGTGATCCAGAGGCCTATTTTGAACGAGAAAATTCCACTTTTGACCCAAAGAGGGGGGAGGGGGGGTCAGGGCGCAGTTAGTTTTGAGGCGCTGCGCGCAGCAAAATGCTCGCATTTGACAGTTTTTGATCAACCTCAGAACAGGTCCTCCGAAGCTGAGGAGGCTAATGTATCTCATAAATTGTAATAAAATAATGTAAAAGAGTTGTTTTCATCCCTTCAGAACTATTTTCGACCATTTACACTGTTGCCAAATTTACTCGAACCTGGAAGGGAATTAGTGTATATAATCTTCTTCACTTGAGTGATTTTGGCAACAGTGTAAATGGTCGAAAATAGTTCTGAAGGGATGGAAACAACTCTTTTACATTATTTTATTACAATTTATGAGATACACTAGCCTCCTCAGCTTCGGAGGACCTGTTCTGAGGTTGATCAAAAACTGTCAAATGCGAGCATTTTGCTGCGCGCAGCGCCTCAAAACTAACTGCGCCCTGACCCCCCCTCCCCCCTCTTTGGGTCAAAAGTGGAATTTTCTCGTTCAAAATAGGCCTCTGGATCACTTTCCAAGAGATGGTCAGGTCTGAAATCATTTCGGCGCATTTTACAACCGAAAAACGTAGTTCCGGGAATTTGCCTATTTTCTCCCCATTTAAACCAATGTAATTTCTTCCAAAATTTGCATCGCTTTGGGGGAAAGTGTAGACTTCAGCTATGGTGCTGAAACTTCAGAATTATCTTTTGGGGACCAAAAGGAATGGGAAAAAGCCCGGGGAGCAAGGTTTTGAGATGGTTGTCTGAAAACGGAACACCCTATTACGCTATATTCTGTTAGGTATGTGTGTAGAAAATTTGACCTAAAAACATTTTGAAATAACTTAAAAAGTATGTCCTGAGTGAATACAATGGAATGAAAGAATGGATGGTAAAATAATTTGCGGTATTCATATGGGATGTATTCTTGAACTAGTTTCAAAGAGTTTCTTTGTCAAATTTTGTGTATAAGTACCTAATGGATTACACTGTGAAGGGATAATTGGAAATTCTCGAGAATTGTCCCCAAAACTGAAAAATTAACAATTGATCGATCTACTATTGAATCGTTTCTATTGAACCCTCCCTAAATTTTCTTGAAATGTCGAGCATATTATCTTCAAAATATAATAAATCATCTCTGCAACGAATCAACAGTACATCATTAAAATTTTTAGAGCAAACTCGCTTGAAAATAACAGTTCTTTTTTTTAATTTTTCTGTTTTCTTTCTTTCCAGATTTTACAACCGAATCACCAGCACAGCAATAACAACAACAATATCAACGAGTGAGTTTTACTCTTCTGCATTCTTATCCCATTGATTACATTCGAGCTCTCAATTTTAATGACAAACTGATATGTCGATAGCTAAATGCCAAAGATGCGTTACTCAATTGCACTGCTCAGAAGTCTCTGATCATGTTTAGTTTTCTTTAAGAAAAACTACATGCATACCATGTCATGATGTTTTCCAAGAGAATTGAAAGCAGGACACTGTTCAGGGAAAAGTGTTATTTTGAGAACATCACAAGCATTGCAGTCAATGTGCTTGTACGCAATTTCAAGGGTTTTTTTGAGATGAGTGAAAAATATTCACAGAAAAGTTTAACAGAAACAGTTAGTTTTCCACAAGAAAATTTAAACTAAAAATTGAGCAATGATCTTCTACATCACAATCTGAGGTACACATTTTTCAACCTTAGCCATTGTCATCTTGTGAAGCCATCCCAGCTCTTTACCTCGGGCTGCAGATATTTTTTTATCCCAAGTATTAAGATTAAGAGTGGAAATGCATGAAAGTCAAGATAAAAGCCATTTCAAACCGCTGCGCAGCCTCTCATGAAGTGCTTTCCCTGCATGCCGCGGAAAGCGTTGTACTGTAGTGACATTGCATCAACTCAGGCTTATGTTGAACTGTACAGTGCACCAATTATACCTTGTTACAACTCGCCTCAAACAAGAAGAGTTATAAATCCGGATCCTTACCATGTAAAATGTACTGATGTCAAGGCACACTTTTCTCAGGCTCTTCTCAACGGATTTTCAAAAACTTTTTTTGCTTGATTCCTCAAGACTTTTTTCCAGTTTTAGATGAGAGGATTTTTAAATATTTTCGAAATTGAAATTTTCATGCATTTTTTAGAAGAAGAATAAGAGAAACTTTTGAACAAGGCCCTCAAACTTTTTTTTTTTTTTTTTTTTTTGAACACTAAAGGAATATGCACTCATGTGTAGTTAGAGAACAAAAGTTAGAAGGTTAGAAAAAAAACACATTTTCTTAAAAATCCATCCAGGAGATCCTAAGATAAGTGAACTAAAAAAGGATTGAAAAACTTTCAAGGAACTGTTTCAAGGAAAACTTGTTCGAATTTTTGCACACACGGAAATGTTGTATCACTCAGTGCATCACAAAACGTTGCCTAACGTAACTTCTATATTGAACTCTGACAGCGCAAGACCGCAATCACATATCTCGTTCGGGGTGTCTGAAAATCTCTGCCTCTGTGTTATTTTTTTAAACGAAAACAAATTGACATCATCTCCTGAAGTTTTTGCAGAATTTTCTTCACACAGAGAATAGAAATCTTAGCAGTTTTAAAGAATTGCTGTTGAGTAGTCTTCTGTTTAGAAAATTAAGTATGACAGGAAACCTGTGACATCGCAAACTGAGTTATGTGATTGCCGACTTACACTGTCGACTTGCTCTTAAATTACAGCTGAGGATATGTAAATATTGGTTGGAAAAAATAACAAAAAACATTTTTTTAAACAAAAAATAATGTATGACTGTCCTCAATCTAATACGCTGACTATTCCTGTTTGCAGAAAATGTTCGAAAACGATCATCCATGAAGTGAACGTTTCACCGATCGACACAGAGCCAGCCTCCTCCGAACGGAGCCTCTCGCCTGTCTCATGCGCTTCGTCGCAAGGACCGAACTCTGGCCGAGTTTCCCCAGCCTTCTCCTGTCGCTCCGATGACCCGGAGCGACTCGACCTCAAGTTCCATCACACGCACCTTTGGTAGACGCTAGCCAACACTTTCATCACTCTCTTCACATCATACTGTTACCTGCTCCAGTCTTATTTTTTCCTTTTTAATACTTTATTTATTTTTATTATTTATTCTAGTTGTTTTTTACTTGTTGAATAGTTGAGTTCATAGGTAGGTTTATGTTTTCAGAGCCCTCCCCCCACACCCCCTTCCTGGCTGAGACAGTGATAGAATAAGAATGTCTTTGGTTTGACGCAACGGATTTTCAATTTGGGACAGTGAAGCTTTGGTGTAGTTCACTGAATTCTCAACTGAAATTTGTGTTAAGTCAGTTTTTGGTTTGTATTCAAGCGCACTTTCAGTGTTTCACTTCCAATGACTTCTTTTGATCCATTCTTATGATTCGTAATAAAAAAAAGCACTATCAGTGTTTCACTTCCAATGACTTCTTTTGATCCATTCTGGTGATTCTTAATAAAAAAATAAAAAAAAAATTTGGCAAAGAAAAAAAAAGATGGTAAGCATTACTGATTAAAAGTTCAATTCTAAGCAGCTGTAAGTTCAGCTAGAAGTTTTGGAACTTTAGTAAAGCTTGTAAGTTTAAATGACAGTTCAGTAGGATGCACTGAAAGATTAGTCTGAAAGTTGATTAGTTTGAAAGCTGAATCTGTACTGACGGCTCTTGAATTTTTTTTAATTCAATTAAACTATTTGGTGCGATTAAATCGTAAAAAAAGCTCAGTCTGAAAGAAAATGTCCCTAATAATTCCTCGCCTTCTTCATTAGAGAGTTAACGCGATATAATCAGTCGGAAAATGCTAACAATTAATTGAAATTCATCGCTAGTGGCATTATTCTGTAACCCCTGTGCAAAAAAGTTTAGTTTCTCTGTATCAAGTTGTGCGTTGAACAGGGTATTGTACTGGAAACAAAGCCTTATTCCATTCAATTTTTAGCTAAAATACTCTCTTCAATTTTGATATTAGTCATTAAATTCTCCTTTATTCTTACATGGTATAGACCCATTTACTTAATTTATTTTTGCATTTTTATCTTTCTCATGATCTGTTATTGAACTAACCCTGTGATCTTTAGACTATGTCCGGGCCCTAGAAACATACTTACATATGCGTGTTCATACATATATATTTGAAAATTTGGCTCAAGAAAAGTTTGTAAAGTGCTTACTTATTCCCTCATTGTATGCTAACAAAATTTGACTTCCTTGATTTGTATTTTCCATTAATGTTCCTTTGTATATATTTTTTGATATTTGCAGCTCTTTTTTTGAAGTTGAAGTCTCATTCATTAACTGTATCCAACTCTCGATAGTATGTGAACGATATTTATTTCTGGACTGCATTTGACGGTACTGTGTTTGTTCACATTGAAATAAAACAGAAAACATTCAGAAGAATTTTCTTTTTAATTTTTTGGGGGGTTTTCAGCACCGCCCTTTGTTACCTACTCAAATAGTAGCTGTCATAAAAAAATACAATTTATCTGTAAACTTCAACTGAATTTTTTAAAAATGAAGCTTATGAGGAGCATCAAATTTCATCCAAGAAGAATCCAAGAGAATTTCATCCAGGACTTATTTAGATGGATTTAAGCGGAATAAGCCTACCTTCATTTCACATTGCATAATTTTCTCTCATGTTTCTTTGTTTGCTAACAGAAAACTAAACTGCTGAATGCCTTCAAACATTCTTTGAATTCTCCAGATTACGAGGAATTTGCTCTTTCAACTTCAAGTTCCGACTTTGCTTGGTTTTCTGTCAAATATTAGCACATAGGAGGAAATAAGGCAATGTCGCTAGTAGTCAGGCTCACTCTCATAAATAACCGGATTTGAAGGGGGAAACAACAAAACAAGAAGAAATCCAATGAACCACTAGACAAGGTACGTATTCAAGCATTCTGAAACATGTTTCTGAACCAAAATTCCTTGTAAAACACAATGCGTGTAATGATAATTAGTGAAAGTAACTCCGACGAAGATATCTATTGTTTCTTGATGTGTGAATTCAAACCTCTGGCTCAAGAAAACTCAATGGTCTACGTTAGTTAAATTGCACACTATAAATTACTATGACACTCTGCGATATGAAAATCTGGCAACCTCGATCTTGACGTTTTGGCTTAGCTAAAGCAGGTTGTTTATAGCTTGAACAACACAAGGTGGAATATGAACAGTACTTGATTGAGAAACCTGCCGAAGCTGTTACAGTGAGCGGTTTGACTCATGAAGAACTTTGAGTTTCTTGAGAGTGGTTAGTTCCAATTCACCGTAACCAATGTAAAATAAAAACGTTCACATCTTCGTTAGAAGTTTGTTTCAGTAATGTACGTCGTGCGAATCGTGTTCTACAGAAAATTTTGGCCAAGAAAAACGTATCAGAATGTTTAAATTCGTACCATGTCTTGTGGTCCATTGCAAATTTTGCCATCCCAGTTGCTGATTCCTTTTCAAAATCAATTGCCAGGAAGCTTCCTGGATAAAAAAGACCACAATATCAAAAAGAGCTTCTGCACTGCTTAACTTTCCTAATATTTTAAGCTCCGAAAATCGGCAAACCTTGCCTTGTAAAATTTATCACTATTTCTCCGTTTAAATACCAGGAAAGTTAAGATGTGGGCAAGGTCTTTTCATCTTCGGTAGCTTTTGCTTAGCAGCTTCCATGGCAGCAGCCCTGATTACCTCTCAAAGATTTTGGTCACCTCTTACAGTAATTTAGAAAAGGAGTGCAGATAGGTTTGAAGCTATAGACTCATTATGTCTGTCATGTTGCGTATATTGTAGTTTATTTCATGTACACCATAAAGATGACTGATTTTTAGAATTTAAAATAATTCTGATGAAATTTTCTTTCAACAAAAATTTGTAGTTTACAAAACAGGATTAGAACCCAAAATAACAGGCCGAAAAGTTTTAATATACATCATTTATTTATTTTATTTATCCATCTACGAAATATGTAGTAAAATACAGTTCTCATATAGAATAACCTAAATAAATCTAGAGAATGATAATAATTTAAAATTAATAACTTTCGAATACAGGCAACTTTTTAAAGTCATTCGACTGAACCTTACTCGATAAGACAAAAAGAAACGACCACTTTTTATCTGTTTCAGTGCATTAAACGAAATCAATTAATTTGAATTAAATTAAAATAATTGATGCAAATAATTAATTTCATCTAAATTACCTAAATCAATTATTTGTATTAAAATTAAAGTAATTCAATCAACCAATTACTTAATTAATTACAAACATGTGTTTCCTCCACTTGCTCTGCGCACTTTTGACTTAATTGACTGAATTTGAAAGGAAGGTTCGGCTCCAAAATGAATAACTAGTTAACTTATTCAACATTTTTAATTTTTACTTATGAGAACTCATAATATGTACAGGCGAGTAACAAATTCATAACTCTTGAGTAGACAAAAAACAGGTGAAAAGAATTTCAACATCTCACGATAACCCATGAACAAACTCAAACCAAAGAGATAATTCTTTTTAAAAAATTTTGAAGGCACTTTTGCGGCTAAATTCTTACATAGGTACCTAAAATAAAAATTTGGGTTGGTAAAAATTTACTCATGGCATGGCTACAAAAATAACAGTGGGTGAGAATGTTGATGATTAGCGACAAATAAGAGATTCTGAAAAGTTTGCAGACCGTGAAATTATTAACGGTCTATTTGGACCGCGTTTAACAGAAAGGAACCAAGCCACATCAGCTATTGCCAAATTTAACTGGGCAATTTGATTTTTTAAGTGAGAATATTTGTGCGGATTCCTTTGAAAATTTTAGGGAATTTGCTTTGCGCTATAGAGAAAAGTCATTGAAATTTGCACAAAAATCTGCACAACCGTTTTCATATATAAAATTAAATTGCCCGATTAAATTTGGCAATAGCTGATGTGGCTTGGTTCTTTCTATTAAATGGGGTCCATTTGTTAGTCTATCTATGGACTGTGCATAGTCCTTACATTGTGTCTATATACAGCCTATAGGACTGTGTAAGAATTTGCAAACAAAATGGTTATATACAGACTATGTACTGGCCTACACATGGGCTGTACATAGCCTTTACGTTGAGTCTGCATACAGTCTGCCGAACCGTGAATAGACTATGTCCTTTTGTAGACCTGATAGCTTTAATTAGGAAGGAAAGTTAAAACAGCTGCTTTCACGCAAAAGGATCACTTTTTATACATTGAACAGAGAATTATCCTCCATAGACAAGACTTTAGAGGTGAGCTAAGCTTACAATGATGTATGTTTTTTATGAAAAAAATTGAACTTATTTTTTTTCCCGTTTTTTTAATTTTTAAGAGGTCGAAGGGTGGAAAAATGAAACAAAAATTCTTGAAAAACACATAATCTGCCTTGGAGAATTATTTTTCACCACGATTTTACAAACTACCGGTCAATTGAATGAAATATTTTAGATAGAAAACAAAGGGGGTCCCATGGATTATTAAAGTCACTGAACAAGTTGAAAATTCAGTAGTAAAATTGACCATTAACAAAGAAGCTAAGAAGCTGGTGGTTTTATTTTTACTCCTAAATTTAGTTGAAAAACCCAAGAAAAACTGTCAAAGTATGCAAATCAGGGCACCTTTTTGGAATTTTTTCAAGTGAATTTATCACCTTGCACTTTATCAGTTTCTGATCTCTTTGTTTCAATACATTTCATCAAAAACTTTCAAACCAGTACCTATCTTCTGATGTAAAGTGGCATTTGAAATTGCAGCATAAACGTAAATGATTTTTAAGAACTGAAAACAATTTTGATGCTGACTTTCTTCCAGCACGAATTTTACAAGTATTTGAACGATCAGAAAAAGAGCTTCCAAATTTGTAAGTTTTAACACTCCTTTTTTCTTCTTCTTTAGCAGTATTCTTACATTTCTTTCAGTCCAAATTTAACAGTCGTCTCTTTAAGTTCAAAGTCAACAGTATTTTTACATTTTTTTAAGTCTTTGACAATTTAAATACCTATGTATATGGGTGACAAAACTTTGAATTGGACAATACTGGGGGCTAATTATTGAAATCGATTGGTAAAGTAAGAGACAATGGAGCGATCTTATTAGCTGAAACGGGTGGTTGTTATAGGCTAGGGAAAAAATGGTGGACTGACTTTCAGGTCTCTCAAGAGTTGCTGTCAGTTAGTCTCTTACTTAGGTAACTCCTTTTTATTATTGGAACCACCTGCTCCCACTAATAGGATAGCTCCATCTTCTCCTTGCCCTTTGTCTTTCACTTTGTTCATCAATTTCAAAGATTAGCCTGTGGATTCGCCTTGAATTCCTGGGAGACGTAATTTCTTTTCTCGGATGTGGAACTCGTGTTGTGGCTTGACATAACAACACGAATTCGTCAACTTACGCATGACTAGACTATTGGAGTGACAAAGAGTATACGAAAAAAAGCGTTCCTAACAATTCAAACTATCATTTTATTTACAAGGATAGGAACATGACAGTTGAGATGAGTCAAATGTGAGCATTGCTCATTGAAAAAAATGCGAATTCTCAGTGAAATCGTTTGCAATGATCTCTTTTAATTCCTCCATCAAAAAAAAAAATATGATACATGCTCAGATTCATTCTAGGCTCATCGTGTAATAATGCTGTCAGAAAATTTACAAACTAGTCAATTGGGATATTTTTCCTTATAAACTGCACAGACTTTAATTTAACAAAGCAAAAATTTGATTTCATTTATTTAAACTAATACACTAGCTGTCAGGTAAGGATTCAAAAAAGAGCTATCTGTTCCTTCAAGCCTATATCGGCGACTGAGTTATTTACTAAATGGATATGTATTCCTTGTAGATTAGTCTTTGAACATCTTGCGAATGATCTTAGAATAATAATTAGACTTTCTCAGAGATTTGCAAAGATAATCTCGGAAGAATGTAGTTGCGGTAAACAGAGGAATTAAATTTCAAAGGACACCTTCTTGCAGGTGGTAAGTCACTACCTTTTTTTGAAAAAATCACACTCGCATCTTAATTAGTAAAGGAGTAGCCAAGGGAATACAATTTGAAAATCTGATAGAGGGTTGGCAATGATTTAGGTAAGCGTGGAATTCTAAATGGTCAAGAGAAAACTTCCTTTGAATGGAAATTTAAGTAAAGAAGTATTCTTTTCAGAATTCTCTGAAGGGTATGTCCTAGAGGTATTATGATTAGGTATTTAGTATACCCTGAAGAATAGGTACTCTACATTGTACATTCTACAGATGTTTGTTTTATGCCAGACAATGGAATCTTTCTAGACTAATTCTCAAGTAATAATTTAAAAATATTCTCTACATAAATTTCTGTAAATATTCCTTCCATACTATTCTAAATATACTCTCTGGATCATATTTGGAGAATATCTTCCGGGGTTTATTCTGTGAATATACCCTGAATAATACTCTGACAATATTCCCTGGAAAAGCGTCTGAGAGTAATCTTGAAATATTCTTCCTGGAATACAATTATTTCAAACAAACGGATTCAATATGAGGACGACAGAATGCTAATTAAGAAAGTATTGGAGTCCATATGAAACATCTGTACTGAAAATGAGTCTTAAAGCATGACTATGATAAATAAGGGGAAAAGGAAAAATTATATGTGAAAACGAACCAATACTTATCACTGAAGAAATCTACAATAACTCAAAACAGTCGGCATTGCCAACTGTGCAGATGAAAAAAGAAGACTTGTTATATGATAAACTTAATAATACAACAACAACAATAAAGAACAATATAGAATCTCAACTGAAATCAAAAATGAAAGAAAGAATGACATACAAAAAAATTTCTAGGTAAAGGAAAAGAAGTGATATCGGTTTTAATAAAATATGAAATTTTCTGTATCCTGCAAACACTGGAGTATCCTGATGAGATGAGAATATTCTCTTTATACACTCAGACTCGGTCTTCTGGCACTTAAATTTTGGCAAGTGAGTTTAAACACGATTTTTCTTGTCAGAATAATTCGTAGCACAAATCTTAACGAATTCTATGTGCATCTTTTAGAAAATATTCTGAGGAGTGTACGAAATATTCCATGCCAGAATACAGGTTGTTTCCATTATTCGTTGGGCATATCCTCAGAATATTCTTTAAGGAATATTCTCAAAACATGCCCTATGGAATATTCCTTGGGACATCTATGAGGAATATTCTCGGGACATCTATGAAGAATATTCCTCAAGACATCTATGGGGAATATTCCCATTCTTGATACGTTATCCGGGTAGTCTAGTGGACCGATTAAGTATGTACAATCATTGAGAACAGCCTGGGAGGAATTTCTGAGGAGAGAATAAATGAGTGATACCTTATCAGCTTGAAAATCCAGGTTTCACTAGAGCTGAAATTCCCGAACAGTATGTATTTTCTATGAGTTGCAATTTTAAAACCGTACAGAATGAATATGAGATTCTAATAAGGGACATCAATTTGTGGCCGGAATAGTTATAGAGCAGATTTTTAGTTTTACTTTAATAGGTAGGTAGAAGCTAAGTTCCTTCACGCTCAGTAGATGGAATAATTTTTTTTTTCTTTTGCGAAATTGCAAATGTTTAGAATTCCGTCGCTAACTAATTTTAAAATCCCTTTCAGACTATCTGAAAAGCATGTCCGTATATTATTCTGAAAATTCATTCAAAAATCAAACTAAAAGGTGTATTCAAAGACCTTCTTGCACCAGCCAAGAGTAGATATTATTCTAAGGACATTCTCCGGATAACATCTGAGATTATTCTAAGTATATTCCCTAGAGAGTCTTTTGAGGATATTCCTGAAAGAATCTTGAAAACTCATCATGGAGGGCTTGCAAGGAATTTCACCTATCGAAGCAGTATATTTCTTTTGCCTCTGTGTACAGAGAGGGTATTTCTCAACAATGTTCATCTACTTTTGCAGAGGCTGCAAGCGATCTTTTCAAAAGGCTTAAATATTGAATGACTTTAGGGACCGGCACAAAGAACAAAATTCTATAAAAATTACCCCATCCACTGAAAAACGCTGCGTCAAGACTAAATCTACAGGATTACAGTCAGAAACTACTTAACATCTATTTCTCGTCAAATTCTCTTCTTTTCTAGAACACCTACATAGGGAATACTGAAATACTGGTGGGATTACATCACTAGGAAATAATTAATCAACTAATTAAAAGATTTAATTAATTAATTCTTACATTAACGCTCTTGTTGATTCGACTGATGCACTAACCATAAAACCTTTGCGCAGGGAACTCGAACCTTCTTGGAACATTTGGGACTGACGTGTGAAGGGATTTTAACATAATATAACATGAAACAGTGTGACATAATATTAAAAAAAATATAAATATATAATGTATAAAAAAGCTACAAGAAACCAGTTGATTATTGGAAATAGATAGCCAGATATTCGTTGCTAGTTTTAAAGGAGTGCCATTGTTGTAAGGGGGGAGGGGAGAGTGAATAGAAATGATTTTCTCTCGGTATTTTTTTTTCTCAATTCCATCGACTCAAAGTCTAAACTAAGAACTGACTGTGTCTTAGAAAACATTTCAACGAGGAGAAATTCAACACAAAACTTGGTCTCTCTCTAAACTCCGTAAGGCAAACTTATTTCACTATAATTATTACTCTTCAATCAGTTTAAAAATAAGAGGAATATAGTTTGCCATAGACTAACTATAAAATAATAGAAAAAAAGAACAGGAAACTATAAAGAAGAATTGAACTTGTTGAGATTTAGCTTTGAAAGAAAGTTGTTTTCTTCCCATGAAAGAATAAGTATAAAAATAGAGGAAAGTAATAGAACCTGTGGTTTTTTTAACTAATTGCACCTGCTAGGTAAAAAAGAAAAAAATGATTCTAAAAAAAACAAAAAAAAAAGAAGAAATCAAACAAAAGGATAGAGGACGCATCAGTCACAAAAAAATAATTACAAAAAAAGGAAAAATAACAACTTTGGCCAATTAATGCTACTTACAATGGAATAATTTTTGCTAGACTTTGGCTCTTTGATTTAATTACTGAAGAAATTGAATTAATTTCCCCGCTCTTTCCTCTCGGAGGGAGAAACGAAAGAGTGTTTTAGAAGATGAGGAAGCCTCATTCACTTCTCTGATCTATGACTAGTGGAAGAGGCTGATCCCGATTCGAGTCCGAGGTAGGAGTACTCCTTGAGACTATATCGTCCAGTTCCTCCTGGAAAATTGGTTCTGATCTAGGGGTGGAGAAATCCGTTGGTTCGTAATTCACGCCGGTCACTCCAAGTCCAACCTGGAGAGCAAACGGTAGTAACATAAATAAAACACGTTATAAATGTCGCAGGCAAACAAAACACTCAGGCATTTGGCAAATGCTTAGGCAATAGGTACATACAAATACCTACAACAAACATTCAAATACCTACATACATGCATACATACATACATAAATTGTTAAAAGCACCAAATAAACGTATCTACCAACCATACATTCAAATACCTATTCTTTACTCCAATTGAATTTTTATTATTTTTCTAATTTTTGATAAAATAATTCATTGATCCGGTAAAAAATAATTTTCTGTAAAAGAGTGCATCATACTATAGTATTATGAACGATTTTTAGTTGATGAGCGAACATTTATCCTTAAAACAGCATAAGTATCATAATAAAGAATTTTTAAAATTTTAACATGAACACATATCGATGGTGAAACTACCAGTCCATATATCTCATTTGCGGTGTTTAAAAATCTCTACTCTCATTTTATTTTTTGAAGGAGAACGAATCAACTTCATTCCTTGAAGTTTTTACAGAGTTTTACTCGCGCTGAGAAGAAAAATCACGGAAGTTTTCAAGAATTAACATTGGGTAGTTTTTCACTTAAAATGTGAAGTACTTATGACAGAAAATCTGCAACGTCGCAAACCAAGATACGTGGTCTAGTAGTTTTACGTCGATGTGAGATGGTGTGTGTGTTTTTTTTTTTTTCATTTTTTTTTCGGACCATTTCTCAGCAAAGAGTTGCAAAATTGTGCGAGCAGGGAAGTAAGTATTGTTGGATTGCCCTCAAAGAAAGCTGAGATTACCTTTTCATTTCTACGGCTGTCATTATAAAAATAACTTAAAAGTTGAATCACTCATTACTCATTACTCCAGGCAATCTCCTGGGATACATTTTGGAATGGCCTTAATTAGTTTGATGAGGGTGTGTGCTTTGAAGAAAGATAAGGAGGCATACTTCAGAAGAAACTAATTGATCAGTCAATTTCTTTTCCTCTCGGATATACTTGTGTCAGATATTAAAGAAAGAAAAGAAGAAAAACAATACATAAACGGGCGAATTAGGTATAACATTCCTCAACGTCTGGGTTGGATTAATTATTAAGAACAAACGGGACTATCAGCGAGTCGCCTTTATCTAGAGTCAATTTGAACTCGGTTTTGGCTTGCAGGTGTCCAAGTCCCCTTCATAGCGACATAACTATAGAAATGGTTGTTGGGATATGTTTTACATTCAAAGTGATGAGAATTCTCTGACTTTTTCCGATTTTTTCTGACCTGAATCATGACATTTCTCTAAAATTTCTAAGTTTTCTTCATCCACGCACATAAATTTCCAGACGCTTTGTTCTAAGTTTTGCCCACAACCAAAATGATGAGCAGTTCCTGACCTTCTGTTTCTGTTCTTTCTGACATCAGTAACAAAAGTTCCCCGCGTTTTTAAAGTTTTTTTTTTTTTTTTTTTTTTCCATAATTCATAAATTTCCTGACTTTCATGGATTGTCCATGAGAAACACGAGTTCTCAGAATTTTTGTTCAAATTTTTTATTGACCTAAATCACTTTAATTCCTGATTTATGGTTCCAGAATGTCCTTGACTAAAATCTGGGTTTCCTTACTTTTTTCCCCAAATTATCCCTGAAAAAATTAATGCAAGTTCCTAACTTTATTTTAGGCTTTTTTAAGCCATAATTACAAAAATCCCTTGACTTTTCCGAGTTGATCCTGACCTAAGCCGTGCAATAAATTCCCTAAATTTGTGTTCCATGTTTTTCCAATATAAAACTTCCTACACTTTTTGGAAGTTTCCCTGCTCTATGAAATCTCAATCTAATTGTGAGATAAATGACATCCCTGGATTTTCGTTCAACGTTTTTTCTCAGACCTAAATCACTTTTGAATAGCATTAAGCAAAAAGGACACGAGCCACATCAACTATTGCCAAATTTAATTGGGCAATTTAATTTTTTACATGAAATGGTTGCGCAGATACTTGTGCAAATTTCAGTGAATTTTTTACATGGTGCGAAGCAAATTCCTTAAAATGTTCAAAAGAATCCGCACAAACGTTATCAATTGTAATCAAATAAACTTCCCAATTAAATTTGGCAATAGCTGATGTGGCTCTGCTAAACGCGGTCTATTCATAACCTTTTACTCAGATATTCCTCGACTAAAATAGGTGACAAAAATTTTTTGTACTCCCCAGTTTACCCTCCCTGGTAAAAATCGGCGATAGGAGCTACGTTTCAAAATACCATAGGAATTCTTATAGCCGGCTATAGAAGGCAATAGAAAATCATATAGCTGGCTGTAGAAAGCGGAGCAAATCATATAGCCGGGCTATACGAAGCGATAAAAAAGTATGCAGCTGGGCTATAGTTCCTATCGCCGGGCTTTACACTTTATCGCCATCAGCTATAAAAGGCTATAAGAAATTGCGTAGAAATTCGTGTGCTTTGGAAATCATTAAGTTTGATACGGAGCCAACATAATATTCACAAAACACACATTATATATTCCTTTAATACATATTTTTTTTCATCAATTAAAATGAGAACAATCCATACAGGATGTGCAAACAGTTCAAAATCATGAGTTGAAAAACGCTGACTCCGCAAGATTATATTGAAGCATAACACAGAGCGGAGCGGCGTGCTGCCAGCGATAAGCGCGCACCAGCGCCTACAAACCTAACTGGGATACTTCACGCATGGCGCAATGCGTGAAGTATCCCTGTTAGGTTTGTAGGCGCTAAGGCGCTTTTCGCGCTGGCTGCCTGCCCGCCGCGCCGCAGCGTGCCACGGCGCTTGAAGCAACTATTTCACACCAGAGGTATTGCACAGTATCATACGAAATTGAAGGCGCTCCAACATATAAGGAATGTCAGGCATCCTTCAAAAGTACGGAGCTTTCCGCGCAAAATAAATCAAGATACTACGGCCCAAAAATACAGCGGTAGTCCAAAAACTCACTACCTAAGTCCTAGCATCCGTAATTAGTAACATGTAGCATACACTTTATCGCCTGGCTGTTGCTCAATCGCCATCGGCTATAAAAGGATATAAGAAATTGTGCAGCCGGCTATAGAAGCTATTGAAAATCTTACAGCCGGCTTTAGGTCTATGGTATTTTGGAACACAGATTCTACTGCCAATTTTTTCCAGGGCTAAGAAGAAAAAGAAAGGAAATAACGAGAATTCTCTGACTTTAGCAAGTTTCTATCAACCCTTATCAATTCAGGGTTGCCAAAGACTTTAGAGACTGGAAATATGCAGGATGGTTAGGAGGACATAATTGGAAATAGATTTAAGGCAAAATTTGTTTCGAAACGTCAAACCTCTATTCAAGAAAGCAAGTAAGTAAAGGTAATTTAACGATTTTTCTCCAACATTTTTATTTTTCCCTGGCATTTCCAGGTTTTCCCTGATTTTATAAAATTCTCTGATACTTTCCGGTTTCCCCGGTACTGTGGCAACCCTGTCATATGAATTCTCTGATTTTTCATTATTCTAGATTCTCCCTTGATTTCTGCCGTGCTAAGGAAGAACGCCGCAAGAACATTCGAGAGTTGCCAAATTTCTCCAAATAAAACATGTATTTTTTTGGAAAGTTATGCATATTTCTCCGTGAGATTTTCGGATATGTTGGATCAAAGTGCGAACAAAATCATCTGAAATATTCGGGGAAAAAATATTCAAAATTGTTCCAGTATGTTGGGTTTTTAGTGGGTAAAGCAAATCTGGCTGAGTACGTCTAAAGGCTCATACGGCGTTTTCCCTGGGGACGGGAGATTTCTCCTCGACTTGATGAATCTGTTTCGCGAAGCTTTGGGGGAATCGTCTGTGGATATTTTGAGGGGGGGTTACCTCTAGATTATTATTGGAAACGGGCGAAGAGGAGGAGCTGTTGACAGGGCTCTGACTGGGGGTTCCGTTGGCCAGGGCCGGAAGAACGTTGGAGGCGGCCGGAGCTGCGTTGTACATCTGCTGTCTTATTTGGTTTGCACTGTGAACTGCCGCCAGGATGCTCGAGGCGTGCGAGCTCGGCGAGACTGGCGCTTCGGGTCCGTTCATGCATCCACTGTACAGCGAGAGCGGCTCCTGCTCAAACAATCCTCAAATATTATTCCACAAATTTCCACAAATAAGAAGAACGCATTCAATCAAATAAGGAACAAATCCTTACAAACAAATGGACCACTAGACAAGGTACGAATTTAAGAATTCTGATACATGTATCTTAACCAAAATTTCACGTAGAACACGATTCGCGCAACGAAAATGACCGAAATTAACTCCTTCCGAAGATATTTAATGATTCTTGATGCGTGAATTCAAACCACCCGCTCATGAAAACTCAATGCTCTACGTGATTCACATCGCGCGCTAAACGTTATCATGACAGTCTCTCCGATATAAAAATCTGGCAACCTCAATCTTGACGCTTTGGCTCAGTTATAGCAAATTGCTAATAGTTTAAACAACACATGGTGGGAAATGAACATTGCTCGATTGAGAAGCTTGCTAAAACCGTTGTAGTGAGCGATTTGACTCGCGTAGAGCTGTGTTTCTTGTGAGCGGGCAGTTCAAATTCCTCGTGACCAATGTGAAATAAAAACTATAATATCTTCGTTAGGAATTGGTTTCAGTAATTTTCGTTGTGTGAATCGTGTTTTGCGTGAAATTCTGGTTAAGAAACATGTATCAGATCGCTTGTCTAGTGGTTCATTCTCTCCATCCTGTTTGACACCCAGAGATAAGAGACCCTCCACTAGTATCTTGGCCATGGTGGAAACTTTTACTTCCGCAACTTCAGCATGCTACTGTTGACTTACCTACATACAGGGGCCAGTTCGGCCATGGGGGCGGGGAGGGCCCCGCGGCGATTTGTTTTTCGAAGCATCGTTTTTTCCCCGGAATGTTGTAACTTTTCAATCCTTTTCCGCCGCTACAAGACCCCAAAATACTTGAAAATTTACCTCCAAGAGGCATGAAAGGTCGCCTAAAGCTTATAATATATGATATACAGGGAAATGTAGTGGGCTCCTGGGGTCCCAGACGTGATGAAGGGGCCCCCGAAGAATCCTGAGAATGGGTTATTTTGAAGTTCAAATACTCTTGAATTGGACTCCAAAAATGCTTAAAATTGCGTTTAAAAAGTGTGAAATGTTCAAAATTTTCCGGGGGAAGGCCCCCGAACGACAGGAGGGGCCCCCAAATGTAGGTCGCCTCCTAACTTTTCGACTGCCCGTCCGCACCTGCCTACATGGTTGATGCTCAACAACGTGTTGGCAGTTGAAAAGCATTTGAAAGAAGATACCTAAATAAATATTTTTATCAAAAATTAGAGGATACTCACCGGATACCTATTGTAAGACTGTGTGGTCGGTTCGTCCCTCATGAGTTGCGGGTCCTTGAACACGACGGCTGCAATAACTTTCTGAATGTGTTTTTCCGGCCAGTATCCCAGTAATATTCTTTGCGGTCTTCCACGCCCTTTCGGTCTAAGATCTGGAATCAGGGAAGGAGACATATATTTTTGGTCATTAAATCCCAGAAATTCTAATTGGAGATGGCGATTCCCTGTCGGTCATTTGGAGACCCAATTTTCTGGAATCAGCGATTTGCAAATTGGCACTGACTTCTATAATTGGTGACCATTAAGAACGACAAACTATTACGTGCCAAAAATTTTGGTCAAATTTTGACCCTCATTTCAATTTCATGGCAAGGGCATACTTATTAATCTTCGAAAGGACCCTACAACAAAACGGCCAAATCGGCCTAAACACGGAATCGTACGATTTTCTCAGGGATGATAGAGGGTCTTCCCAGACACTCAAAACTGGTCATATTTTTTGCCTAACCCCCAGGGAAAAGGGGGGAGAGGGGGTCAAAGTCAAAACCTTTAAATTAGCATAATTTCTCAACGGTTTGTCGTAGAAAGATGATCTTGGTGTCAAAATTTCCAGAAAAATGAGAGCTTTCAGAATATATGTATGAAATTAATATAATTTTAAAATTTGACCCACTTTTGGGGCATTTTACAAGGTCCCCCTTTCGTAAATTTTCGTTTTTTGAGATTTTCGGTTGTTCGGTTCGTACGGATTAAGACAAAAACAATTTCAAATGAAAGTAGAGCGTTTCAGCTTTAAAACAAGCCCAAGATGATCTTGGGGAAACGATTAGAAGCGGAGTTATGCGTCTTCAAAGTTGACGCGGCGCGCGGGAACCTTGTATGTTCCGAGTCTCAAGGTCACCTGCGCGCCCCGGATTGCCTGCAGGTTGCAAGTTTTTGTGTTTTTATGCTTCTGTAGGTCATTTTTAATGTAAATCATTCAATGAAGATAGTTTAATCAGAATTTTTTTAATTTTACACAATGGGCCTTGGGCGAGGTACACCTCATTAACATCAAAAAATTTTAACTGCGTTTCGAGTAGCCCCCTCAAGAATAACTAAGACTTGTTTTGAAGCTCAAAGCTCGTCTGCTTCTACGAGAAACTATTTGGCTTTACCATGTTAGTTCCGTCAAGCGCTGTAGCTTATAGCTCTTCTTCTTCTTCTTCTTCTGCCTTCTGACTAGGGCCGTGACCCTGTTTGTCTAGCCTCTAAAACAGTAATATGATGCCGATGAGAGAGATCACTTAATTCTCCGGGGATGAAAGGCAGCTCTGTGCCCATCTCTTGGGCGGTCGTCCGGGTTGCCTTTGGCTATGAGGTCGTCCTACCATACAAATCTTGGCAAGCCTTTCCCCCTCCATCCTCTCAACATGTTCCGACCACATTTTCCGGCGCATCTTGGTCCATTTGGCAATATCTTGAATTTGGCACTCTTCGCGAATTGACTCGTTGGTCTGCCTATCTCGGAGCGTAAAGCCTGCTATTTTCCTCAGGACTTTCATTTCTACGGTCCGCAACTGTTGTTTAGTGCGCTTCGTGTCCGCTCGGGTCTCCGCAGCGTAAGTCAGCACAGGTCTTACAACCGTTTTATAAACTCGAACTTTGCTCTCTTTAGCCATGTACTTATTCCTCCAAACCATTTCATTTAGGCATCCGGCTACTCTAGTTGCCTTGATTGTCTGACTCCGCACCTCGGTCCCTAAATCCTTCACACTCGTTATTAAAGCGCCCAAGTACTTAAACTGCATTACTTGTTCAACTACGGTACCGTCCACGACTAGCTTACATCGTATTGGATTTTTGCTGATGACCATACTTTTTGTTTTTTTAGCCGACACTTTCATGTTGAATACCTCTGCAGCCAGGTTGAAGGAATGGAGCATTCTTTGCAGATCATCCTCGGAGCTTGCTACTAAAACAGCATCGTCTGCATAACAGATTATATTAATATTCGAATTGCCTAGCCGATAGCCTCTCTTAAATCTAACTGCATCGATTAGCTTATTCATTAACAAATTGAATAGAAAAGAGCTGAGGGAGTCCCCTTGTCTTACTCCTCTGTTTACAATGACTACATCAGAGGTTCCCTCCCTGGTGACTATCCGTGTCTTGGTGTTCGAGTTCAAGTCGGCAACTATCTCGATGAGACACCTGGGAACATTCCGCTCGTTAAGTATCCTCAAGACATCTGTTCTCCGTACGCGGTCGAATGCCTTCTCCAAATCCACAAAACATAAAAATAAAGGCTTGTTGAACTCGATGGATTTCTCTGCCAATTGTCGTACCATGAATATGGCATCGTTGGTGCCTCTGTTTTTCCTAAACCCTTGCTGTTCCTCGGCCATATGCACAATCTGCTCCAAAATATCTTTAAGAACGGATGTAAATAGCTTGGAGCACGTGTTTAGGAGCGTAATACCGCGATAATTTGCAGGTACAAATTTGTCACCTTTCTTGAAGATGGGAATTGTGAAACTATCCTTCCAGTCTTCCGGCATTTTCTTTTCTTCCAAAATTTTTTGGAACAGACGATGCATCCACACAGCTAGGACTTTTCCACCATATTTAACGAATTCATTTCCGATGCCATCTGGTCCAGGGGATTTTCTGAGCTTTAATCTGTGAATGGCTTTGGTCACCATCTCCAATGACACGGTCACATTATCTTCGTTCTGGTAATCAATCCTCTCTTGGATGTCGTCATCTGCATCTTTGTACAGTTCAATAAAATAAGTGTGCCATTCTTCTTTCCGAATGTGATGGGCCTGCCTAAATTCACAGATTTCTTTCCGCTGATTTCGAAGAGCATTCCACATTTTCCGTTGCGCACCATAAAAGTCATGCTCCATTCCTTTGGTGTAACTTTCCCAATAGCCTTCTTTAATTTTCCTAATTCTCTGGTTCATCGAATTGCGGACCCTTTTGTACTTTTCATATTCTTCTGGAGTGGGATTAGATTTATACTGTAAAAATGCTTCCTTCTTAGACCTTGCAGCATCTCTGACTTCATCACAAAACCAGGGTGTCCGGGTATCTGTGCGATTTCTGTTTACTTTTCGCCATCCTACTGCCTCACCAGCTGCTTCCAGCACCTTCGATTTTACATGCCGCCACAGCTCATTTGCTGTCAAATCTTCATCTGGCACACTCTCCAACTTGCCATGCAGCCTGGAGCGATAGAAGCTCCTGATGCTGGGGTCGGACATCTTTTCAACACAAAGTTTTTCGAAAATCACCGGTTGCTGTTTTCGCTGACTGAAATCGATTCTTAGTTCGCATAACACTAAGCCGTGCTGAGTACCAGCATCTGCGGATGACAAGGTGCGAACATCTAGGATCTGCTGTGGATGTACATGCCGATTACTGATGATGAAATCAATCATCGATGCTTGGCCTCTCCGATTGGTCCAGGTAATTTTCTGTTGTAACGGGTGATCAAAAAACGTGTTATTAATCCTCAATTCATTTATGGCGCAAAACTCAATGAGTTCCTCACCGCTGTCATTCAAGGTGGGCTCATTGAATCTATTTTTGATCCCAGGTACAACATTATTCCCAACACGAGCATTCCAGTCACCCATCATGACTAACTTTTCCCGAGCTGGTATTGTGTCGATGACTTTTTGTAAAGACTCATAAAACGTATCTCGCTCTGGCTTCCCTCTACTCGTATCTGGCGCGTAAATTGATATCAGATTTAATTTTTCTCGGCCTAAGTAGATGATAACTTTTAGGATCCTTTCGCTTATATAATCGATATCAATGATATTATCAATGAGGTTCTTATGAACCAACATTCCAACGCCGGCGTGTGCTCTTTCACTCTTGTCGACGCCTTTATATATGAGCAGGTAGTTGCCCCTCATTACACTTCCAGCTCCTTTCCTCTTGGTCTCACTCAGCGCACAGATGTCGATCTTCTTTCCATCCAATTCAATAATAACTTCTTGCTCCTTATTTGTTAATGATGTCACATTCCAAGACGCAATTCTCAATTTTTGAGCCGCTTTTGTCCATTTGTCCGTTATCCTTAAATCTTTGGGTCGAAAGTCCTTTCTATTCTGATACCGAGGCTTTTTATTTCTCCTATGAGCAAAAACGGGTCTTTTTACCGGAGGCAGGTTGCTAGCCTTACCTCCGAACCCTCCTCCTTAGCCTGGGCTTGGGACCGGCAGTACCGTCGAGGAGACGGCACAGGCGGAAGCTTATAGCTCAATTAAAAAAATTTAAAATTAGGGGTACCCCAAAATTTGGCATCAATGGGTTATAATTTCTAAATGGTTCAGTTCTGTATGGAGCATATGTATATTGGAACTGAGGGTCCATGGTTTCTTCTAAATTATAAGAGCAGAATCGTCATCGTCAGCAAATATTTAATGAGGTATGATGGACATAATGGTTGATACTCTAAGCCCCCTCTCACTCCTCCCGTAAAATTAAAAAATTTCGATTATTCTATCTTCATTGAATGATTTACATTAAAAATGACCTACAGAAGCATAAAAACACAAAAACTTGCAACCTGCAGGCAATCCGGGGCGCGCAGGTGACCTTGAGACTCGGAACATACAAGGTTCCCGCGCGCCGCGTCAACTTTGAAGACGCATAACTCCGCTTCTAATCGTTTCCCCAAGATCATCTTGGGCTTGTTTTAAAGCTGAAACGCTCTACTTTCATTTGAAATTGTTTTTGTCTTAATCCGTACGAACCGAACAACCGAAAATCTCAAAAAACGAAAATTTACGAAAGGGGGACCTTGTAAAATGCCCCAAAAGTGGGTCAAATTTTAAAATTATATTAATTTCATACATATATTCTGAAAGCTCTCATTTTTCTGGAAATTTTGACACCAAGATCATCTTTCTACGACAAACCGTTGAGAAATTATGCTAATTTAAAGGTTTTGACTTTGACCCCCTCTCCCCCCTTTTCCCTGGGGGTTAGGCAAAAAATATGACCAGTTTTGAGTGTCTCGGAAGACCCTCTATCATCCCTGAGAAAATCGTACGATTCCGTGTTTAGGCCGATTTGGCCGTTTTGTTGTAGGGTCCTTTGTGTCGTGTCATTTTTGAAAATCAAAGAAAACACTTCTTGGGGAATTGGAAGAAATCAGTTCTTGGATGGAAAAATGTTAAACATACTTAGATGTACGGCGAGAGCAATTTTCCGTCACCAATCATTAAATCGTACAGAATATTTGGAATGAGTTAAATCAATTCCGTGGAAATCATAATCCTTCCAAAATCAACGATTCGATTTCCCATAGCGGCAGGACGCATAGCACAGGGCGCGCAAACATCATTAAACCTAATGGATCCTCAATTTTTGAATTCCATATCCGTATCACTGAGCTCTCCTCACCTTCATTAGGACGGTAAGGTAAGTGTTTCAACGCGTAGGGTCTAATTTTGCCCAAAGGGTCAAAATGAAAGGGAACAGCGATTCTTGCGACAGAACGAAGATTCTAGAAAGAATCGACCGTGGTTTTCTTTGAATTCGACCGGTTGGGCAAAAGAAGCTCCTGCATAGTGAAATAGGTGCTGAACCATTCCAACTGAAGGATGAAAGCAGAAAGATGAAGGCAGGGCCGGATTTAGGGGGTGGCCACAAGGGCCGCGGCCCATGGCAGCAAATTTTGCAATTTTTTTTAAAAAGTCTGTATTAAAAAAAAATCGGATTCAGAAAAAAAATTACAAACGAGAAAAGGCGACAAAATCTCTCATTTCCTGAGAGTACAGTAATTTCTAATTTTGTCATCTTTCGGTGATTCGTGAGACAGCACCTTAGTCGAGTTAAGAGAGAAACCAAACATGCAATTTGGCCTGGAACGGCGCGACTTAGGGAGAAATGATGACGAGGACTTGAGATGAAAAGGAGAAGCCCTCGGCGCGCCGCCGGTCAGCATTACAAGACTCCACGAATACTTCACGCATTGCGTCAAACGTAGTGCGGTCAGCAGCGGTCGACGTGAGACGCATAGCGCCTACAAGACTGGATGAATACTTCACGCATTACGCCAAACACTGTGCGGTCAGCGCGACGCACGGTGGATCGAGTCAATGGTAGCGGTCGGTCATCGCGCATCACGCGGCTTATTTTCTCTGATTACAGAGATTTCCCGCCCTTAGGATAAAGCAAATTACCCTCACCTAATGTATTTTTCGTCGTAGATTCCATTCTTGATCAAATTTCAGTCGAATAAGGAGTTTTAATACGATTTTGACACACTTTTTCATGACTATTGAAAATGGGATCCTTGATAGCTTATTTTTCACGTTACTTTCGGCGAATTGGACCGTAAGCGTCTTAAAGAATAATTTTGCAGAACTTGACTCAAAGACATTACTTGAGGAGTGACGGGAGGCGGCTGATTCACAGGCCCCTCACCACGAAGGTTGCCATATTTCTTTCATTTTCTGCTGACATCGTTTTTTGTTCCTGTTAATTGGTTTCTCGCAATTGCATACAGACGCATATACGAGACATTCTGATAATGTTCATTTTTCTTTTCTTTTCCTCCAGCCAGTCATTAGACGTTTTCATTTTTATGAACCCCCCACTCTTTCAGTTATTCAACAAATATGCATATTTCAAAAAATAGATCAATACATTAACCAAATAAAAAAAGAGAGATGTATGTTCTGTAGCTTCTTTTTATCGAGTCATCCTGGAAGATTATTCTATAGGTTAGGGTGTTCCGTTTTTAGGCAACCATCTCAAAACCTTGCTCCCCGGACTTTTTCCCATTCCGTTTGGTCCCCAAAAGACAATTCTGAAGTTTCAGCACCATAGCTGGAGTCTACACTTTCCCCCGAAGCGATAAAAATTTTGGAAGCAATTTCATTGGTTTAAATGGGAAGAAAATAGGCCGATTCGCGGAACTACGTTTTTCGGTTGTAAAATGCGCCGAAATGATTTCAAACTTAACCATCTCTTGGGCAGTCGTCCAGAGGCCTATTTTAAATGAGAAAATTTCACTTTTGACCCAGAGATGGGGGGAGGGTGAGTCACGGCGCAGTTAGTATGGAGGCGCTGCGCGCAGCAAAATGACAGCATTTCACAGTTTTTGATCAACCTCAAAACAGGCCCTCCAAAGCTGAGGAGGCTAATATATCTCATAAATTGTAATAAAATAACATACAAGAGTTTTCTTCATACCTTCAGAACTATTTTCGACCATTTACACTGTTGCCAAAATTTACTCGAAACTGGAAGGAAATTAGTATTTATCATGTTCTGCACCGCTTCGTCCCTATCTAACGGTGAGTAAAGTCTCCTATACATACACTCTGTGCCAAACTGGGCAATTCTTGTTCAACTTTATAACAGCTGGATGCAGATTTTTCTGTGCCGAATCGGGTCATTTCCCCCCTCGCCTTTCTCGATTCTGTGTGCCGAAACGTCTCCTTTCTTTTTTGCCGAAATGGGTTGCGCTCGCTCTTAACAATCGCGCTGTAGATCCTCGGGGTTGACGTTGTCGGACTGGGGTCGATTAATTATGAGGGCTTTTTTTTTTTATCGCGGATCAGGGTGGATCGCAGTGGAACGCACTGGATCGGAATCCTGAGCGATCCAGACCGATCATACACCGCAATCACACGCTGAATGTGGGAGCTGAATGTGGCTTGAATGTGGAAGTCATCGGCCCGATGCCTGAATTTTGCGCGTGACGCGCAAAATTCAGCAACGATTCTCGGCAACCATCGGACCAATTTTGAATTTGTCTGAACTATTCGAGTAGATTTAATACACATCTGGATGAAAATAACTCGAATTTGCTAAATTTCAGCCGTTGGGCGATGACTGTTGACTTCCACATTCAGCTGCTAAATTCAGCGTCTCATTGCGACACAAGTGTTCCAAGTGATAAAAAAATCCAAACTTGGAATGTGGTTCGATTTGTTATTGTTTTGATTTTTTGGGGACGGCAACTTCCTCGCATTAGATTAGGATCACAGTGGATCGCGAGCTCGCCCAACCTCGGAAGCGCGATCCAGCGTTCCACCCTGATCTGGAGTCCCTTTATACTGAGAGTCAAGACAACACCTCTCATGGAGTCACAAACGGGAATAAAGATTACACAAATTGAACGTTTTTCGTAATCTTTGATCGGCTCATTCTTAAATTCCTTTCTCCGTTCCTTCTTTCATTCCGTTTGTTCCTTGTCGAACCCGAAATTCCTCGGTCCATTCCAGATTATAATCTTTGCAATTGGTGAAAATGTAATCTTCATTCCCGTTTGGGACACTGTGAAGGCCTAAAATCCGGTTAACCAATCAGAAATGGATTCGCATTGTCTTGACTCTCAGTATAAAGGGACTCTACCCTGATCCACCTGGATCGCTTGGATCACCCTGAGGAACGGAATAAAAAAATACGGATGTTCATGGCGATGCACCGCGTTCCACCGCGATCCGCATGGAAAAAAAGCCCTATAGGGATTGGGGAGGTACGTACCTGCGCTGCCGTCGGCGGAGGGTCCAAGCATGTTGTGGACGCGGTTGGCGTAGAGGACGAAGGTCGGGTAGGGAATGTCGAACTTGCGGGCGGCCTGCGAGAGGGAGAGCCCCTGGTTGAGCACGGACATGATCGCCTCGGCCATCGTCTCCGAGCGCCACGTCTTCAGCGGCCCGCGCTCTCGGAACCGGAGGTTGTTCATCACGAATTGGTTCGAGCGGAAGCTGCTCTGCCACCACGACTGCAACTGCTCCTGGTAAGAAGTTTCTGCAAAAACCCAGAGAAAACCCAAATCAAACACACGTCGACAACCCGCAAATACAAACTAACATGTAGAATAATTACAAGTGTAACACGTAATCATGACAGTCATGTTGACGCTCCGGCTATCCCTTCATTGCCCGATACCTCGATGGGCTTTGTTGCCTCCTTCTCCCCATCTACTTCTTCCCCTATTAGAGCTAAGGCGGATAAAGAATGGTGGTCGCTAGCAAAGATTACTAAGGACTCCAGATACCGCACGCCGTATACTTGCCGTAGGAAAGAAGCGGCCCCCCAGTCGCCTGCAGCGCCAGGGTAGGCAACCTGTGTAGCGGTATGCCATACTTTAGCCCACCTGTAATGGAAGTGCATTGGAAATTGCACTACGAATGTGCAGATTATGAACGGCAAATTGCGAAAATTGTTCATTTTAGTCACTAGTCATGGTAAATGGACTCAGAAAATTGAGCAGAGATATTTGCATTAATTTTTTTTTTTTTTTTTTTTTTTTTGTGGTTTTTGTGGTTTTTTGGCATTTTTCGGCATTTTTTAACGATTTAAAACAAAAGAAAAGTTAATACTGTGAATCTTCAACCAAACTTAGCACAGCACGACGAAACCGGTCAAACACACGGCAAACAGTATATTCGTTAGCTCGAAGTATGGCATACCGCGGCTAAACAGATTGCCTACCCTGGAGCTGCAGGGGACTAGGGGACCGTTTTTTATTCCAATGCGGTATCTGGAGTCCTTAGTAATCTTTGGCCGCTAGAGTACCTTTATAGACAGAGTATGGCCATTTCTGTGCCGGTCTTTCATTGGTCGCGAGAGAATAGGCTGAACGATGTTCTTACGGCCGTAAATAAACAAACAAAATGGCTGTTATCAGCAAGCAAGTTTGAGGATACGAGTTTTTCCTTGTAACGGTTAACAAGGGGCAAAACCGTTCGCGTCGGAATCACAGGGTTAAGGTAATATCTACCCCTATCTGATTGGTTTATCAGATTTAAGCTGCGCATTGCTCTTCTGGCTTAGTGAAAACGATGCAGACACACTATTCAACAAGACACCTTACCCCTTCAATGCACAATATCATTTCGTACATACCTACACGAAAGATACGAGTATTGGCAATTTTTAAATTTTAATTTTTAATTTTGACCTAAAAGAGTCAAATTTGTAGAAGAACAAAAAATTCCCTTGAAAGAGGAGAATAAAACGCTAGGGTTACATTGCGGTTATATCCGTTTTATAGTCTATAAAGATGATACAAGAAGGAATCATAAGAGAGGAAAAAAATAAAAAGACACAGTAACAAAATTAGAGCACTTTTGTTTTAAATTGTAGAAGAACCACCTATGAAAAGAAAATGCATGAACAAGTATAAATACAACGCAAAGGAAGAATTTAAAAAATTAGAAACACAGTAAAGGAAGAAATAGACCATCACTAAGACCGAAGAGAAGCTCAATATTATTAACGTCTACGAATGGTTCCCACTTTATGATTGGCAATAAAATAGGTGCAGAAAAAGGGTTTCATAGTTAAGAGACAGGACATTCTGAAAAAATTCTACAAGATCATGAAAGTGAAAAATAATCGTTCAAATAAGACTTCTAAGTGTCTAACAATAACAATTAAAATGTAGGTATATTAAAGAGAAACATGCTTCATTGTGATGAAAATATTGAGCAGAGAGATAAGAAGTTACCCTCCAGGATGATAATGTTAAATACGTTCAAAATTATGGGAGATGTGCTAATAACTCAAAAGGAAACTTGACCATTCTCAAATGAAATTCGATGAAATTCAGTGAAATTCAGAAAACGGAGGTAACTCTCGCTTTGGGGCATTGCAGACTTCCGATCATATTTAGACCACGTTGTGCAATTAGGAACTACAATTTCTAGCCTTTTAGTAAAGTTTAGACAAAAGAAAAGTTTAAAAACCACGTAGGTACCATTGATTTCCCTATGCGCATACGTTCTTTAACGGATGGGCCTGAAATTGTGGTTCCTAGTTGCAAAGTGTAGTCTAATTTTATTCTCTACTTGGAAAACTACTAAGCGTCATTTCTTGACAACTTCCATTTCTTTCCTCTCTGTATGAAGAATATTCTCTGAAATTTTCAAATCATGTTGTTCGTTTGGTATCCTTCTAAAAAATAAACTGGAAGCGGAGATTTTGAGACGCAGCAACCGAGACACGGATTTCAGCAGTTTCACTGTGCTGCCGTGCTAAGGAGGAACGCCGTGTGAAACTTCAAGCGTTGCCCAATTTCCTTTGATAAAACACGAATTTCCTGCCGAACTTATGAATTATTTTCCTTCCAACTTTTCAGATAATTTTGTTCGCAATTTCATCTACAGTTCCTGAAACTTCGAGTAAAAATATTCATAACATTCCTCAAAAATAAACATTTTATCGGAGGAAATTTGGCAACTCTCGAATGCTCATACGGCTTTCTTCCATAGGACGGCAGTGTGGAAATGCTCGACGTTGGTTATGATTCTCCCAAGTTAACATCACAATTTTCCTCCACGTGGCGAGGCGTGAATGATCGATTATCGATATCCTCATTTTAAGCTATGGTAAATAATCGATTATTGAGGTGTTGATTTTTGTTGCAAACACCCTGTTCATTGATCCTATTCTATAGATTCATATGGCAGATCAATAGATATATCGCAATGCACGCCGTGCCACTGAATTCAAATGAATGATGATCAGTCGATTATCGTATTGGAATCGATTATCCATGGAGAATTTAAATCAAGGGAAAACATATTGCCAACTTTGAAGAGCCGCCACGAACTCAATTTTATTTTGGATCGATTACAAATTGAGAGGTGGTAAAGTTCCTTAGAGTTACAAGGTTACCTGACAATAAGTTTCCGGACTCTAAACACTGAAACTAGTAAACACACACAAAATTTTATTAGCTTTGGTGAAAATCTGACTGTATAACAAGTGGGCACGAGTAAAAACTAGAAATAAAATTACGTATAAAAACATGAAATCCACAAGAAAAAATCAGGAGATGAAAAGAAAATTAGTAACACGGCACAATACGTAAAATTTACAAGATGCGGCATGATCCCATTGCCACGTTCGTTCAAAATAACTGAAATAAACTGAAAACGGATAACTCTTGACAATAATATGCAACAGCAAATGACAGGGCTACGCACTTGAACCTCTTTTCTTCGGGTATGAACCAGACTGCATTTTGGAGCTAGGAACTACAATTTCTAGCTCAGTTCAGAAACAACGTCCGTACCATTAATTTCCCTGTGCATATGAGTGCTTTTACAGATAAGCCAGCAATTGTAGTTCCGCCTTGCAAAGTGTGGCCGATTATTCCTCTATCCACTACATTCTGCCGTGATGGGGAGAAACCCCGTGTAAGCCTCCAGACGTTGCAAAATTTCCTTTCACCATACGAAAATTTTCGAGAAAATTTGAGAATATTTTTCTCCCGATTTTTCAGAGAATTCTGTTCACAATTTGGCCTAAAAAGTCTGAAAATTTTAAAGAAAAATATTCTTAACTCTCCTCAAGAATAAATATTTTTAGAGAGGAAATCAGGCAACGTCGGCATGTTCGAAAGGCGTTCCTCCTCAACATGGCAATATTCAGCGGTTAACTCGGATCGTTGAATCCCGAACCAGACTCCTTATGCACTTAAGTATTTTAACGGATGACCCAGAAAAAGTAGCTCCTAATTGAAAAAGTTAGTCCACATGGACAGCGCTGATGTTTTTTCAGATTTCAAGTTTCAAGATTTTCCGGATTCCCAGTCTTCATCATAAAATTCCCTGACTTCTTCCTGATCTGAAAAAATTCCCGAGCAATATCCGGTTCCAGACCTGTAGGCACCCCTGTTCGCGATAAGTTCACGATCGAGGAAATTTCCAGTTTTCAAGAAAGCGGTTAAAATTATTAAGGACTATTAAAAAAACAAACTCACGTGCACAAAATAATTTTAATTTCATGCACGTATGTTTTTTAACTAGTTTTTGATAATTTTAATCATTTTAGTCCAGTGCAGTCCGTGTCACGTGTTTTATTTTTGAGAGAGCTATTGCGGGTTTTTTAAATGGGGGGGGGGTCGTATTCATCATAGTTTCTTGAACTAGAGTGCCTGCATAGCGAGAGTATAGACAGATCGTTTCACGGAGGGCTTAGGGCCCAAAAAGGGCTAAGGACCCAAAAAGGGCTTAGGACCCAAAAAGGACAGCGAACCTTCTGACACACAAAATGTCACTGACACTCTTCAGATTCCACCCGATGTCCTCCAAATTCCCGAAATTGTCTGATATTTTCGCAATTTTCACGGAATTCCGGGGCTTCTCGTCAGTCTGACCGGTAGTCATATCAAATTTGACGATCTTCAGCACTAAATCCGGGCGCATTTCGGAATTTTTTCCCGGAAGTTTAAGAAATCGGAATGAATTCCGAGAACCCCGGAATCTTAGGTAGAACACAATGGCAGCACATCCAGCGTGCGACGAGGAGCCTGCTAGAGGCGCTCTCTAAACGGTACAATTCTGCCGTGCTAAGGAAGAACGCCGTATCAACTATCAGGCGTTGCCAAATTTCCTTTGACAAAACACAAATTTTCTGGTAAACTTATGGATATTTTCCTCCCCATTTTTCAGATAATTTGATTCGCAATTTTACCTAAAGATTCTGAAAATTCAAAGAAAAAATATTCATAACTTTCCCAAAAAATAAACTTTTTATCGAAGGAAATTTGGCAACTCTCGAATGCTCATACGGCGTTCTTCCTTTAGCACGGCAGAATGGGACAAGTGTGTAGATGCTACGGTGCACAGTGGATCGAGTCAAATAGAGAGGTCTGGCATGAAATTTTTGACTAAAACTGCAAATTTTAATGTTTATTATGTCACATTTTAAACTTTAAGGGGTGCTAGTAGTAGAAAATCCCGCGAGGAAACCAATGGATTCACTTTTGGAACCTCTCAGTTTCGTATAAACGGAGT